TTGTACTATTTAGCATGTTATTGGTCGGTAACAAGACCAACTTAAATTTAAATCTATTAAATACATTCTAGCGTGTCTAAGTCCTTTACCCACAAAAGCGGCTATAACTTTTTTTTCTATTCGAAATAATAAGAGTGGCACCTTTCTGAAATATTTATTAAATGAGCAATTTTTTTATGTAATGCAAAGTTATAGCTCAGTACATTTTTTTCCACCAGAGATAGTCAAAGTTGGGGAAGAAAATATCAAAAAGTTAAAAATCCCAATATAGTCCTAATTTTATAATGGTTCCTTAATATATTTTAACAACATTGCATTTGAGTATGGAGAAGCAACTATCTGAAAGTATTTTACATAAAAAATTTACTAAGTATAGCCTTGTTTGTAGATGCAGTTAAAGAAAATACATGAAAAAGCACGATTTTATTTTAATTCGAAAAAATTAAAATATTTCAAAAACGGTGACACTTTTACCAGAAAAATTTTTGCTTATCAGGGAGCTCACCACCCCACCTGCCTTCTTCTCAAGTTTGGCAGGTTACTTCTGGGACACCCTGTATATGTATACATATATATATGTATACATACATACGTGCATTCAAACATACATATATACATATGTAGGTACTCGTACCCGTCATGCGTCGCTTTATTTCTTTCTTCCCCTTCCCTATACTACCTATATCTTCCTTCTCACTCATGTAACGTTTTCAGTTTTAAAAATTTCACTCTCCATTTTTGCGATACCGCCGCCTAAGAAGTTTCACTTCAAAAAGAGTTTGAATATCTCATGGATCGTGGGATATGCCAACAATCGGAAAGCCAATGGGCCAGCCCATTGCATATGGTTCAAAAGTCGAATGGCTCATGGAGGCCATGCGGCGACTATAGACGGCTTAATGCAAAAACGGTTGCTGATAGTTACCCTATTAGGCATATTCAGGATTTCGTATGCGACTTGCATGGAAAGACAGTTTTCTCCGTCATAGACTGCAAGAAAGCGTACCATCACATT